AAAAAACGTTCGAGAATTTTCTTTATATTTTATTTTTCACAATAAATTAGTAGTATTAAATTAAATAGTTACGACTTAGCTTTATAATTCTATATCGATCTTTTTCTCGATTTGCTTGCATCTAAAGAGTACAATAAATAAAATTTTATTTGTTTAATTGTTCAAAAACATTTTATTATAACGTGCCATCAAGATTTAAATATATCATAAGTTTTTTCTACAGTTAAACAAAATAATATATATTATTACAAAAACTACTTTCAAATTTATTCCATTATTCTTATTTGAACGTTGACCGACAAAAAAAAAACCCCGATCAGCTAAGCTAGAGAGCAGATATCCTACTCGTTCATTGAATAGATTTGTTTCTATTAGTTTGGCTTGGATTAGTATCATAAAGAAAGGGGAATGACTCGGCTATCCCACTTGTGGACAAGAGAGACCCGGAACACAAGTACATCCCACGAGAGAATAAAAAGAAAATTGGCAAAAAACCTCTACTCAAAATTACAAAGTCTTCCTCATACAAGTTGTATAAGCCAAGTATACCCCCATTTTATGTATTAAGAGTGCCAAAGGTCCATCACATGATAAAGCAACCATTCGGATTTTCGTCGCTAAACATTTCGAATGTATCCAACGGTTGGCGTGGGTATGAGTCAGCATTAAAGGGTGGTGGCTGTGGTGGGTACGAATCGGAATAGGAGGGTGGTGGCGGCTCGTCCTCTCGTCCCGAATATGTATAAACATACGAATGTGGTGGTGGGGCCGAATAGGATGCTGTATAGCTACTAGTAGGATACGTCGTATTGTGGCTCACGGTGTATACTGGTGGCGGCCCATAGTGATGGAGTGGGGTTGGGTAGTCATGATAATTATGCTGACGTGGAGGAATATGATTAGCTGGAATGGAGATTGGAGGTTGGCCTGCACCACGATGCTTATCTGATCCAGTGGATGCCGGTGTGGCAGCACTCGATTTCGCGCGCTCTATGTTATTACTATTTTGCCCTTGCTTTTTCTTCTTTTTACCAGAAGTGTGCGCCTCAACGCCGTCACTACCACCGTTATTACTCTCAGAAGCTACGCCACTTTTACTTTCACTATCCCCTTTCTCCTCCTTCGCCGGCGGCGGCGGCCGCGCATTGGCTGCGCTACTCTCCGGCTCCGGCTTCTTCTCTAATTTTGACTCTGCCACCTGAACGCCTCCTGTTGTTTTAACCAGACCTTCACTAACTTTAACTGAACCACCGGCATCAATTTTTTCATCGCTTTTCACTTCACCGGCATCAACTTGAGCTGCGCCAACACTTCCTTCACCACTTTTAGCTACAGACCCACTAGTTGAAGCACCCCCATCACTTGTTTTCGCTGGATCTTGAACCGCTTCGACATTCCCCATTGGCTTCTGCTCTTTCTTAACACCGCTTCTCTGGACATTTTGTTCATTGTTTTGTCTTTTAATCTGTTTCTCTTTGTTTCTTTCTTGCACTGAATTTTTCTCCTTTTTCCCAGTTTTTTCAGGCCATAATTCTGCGTTCTTTCCAGACTTTTTCAGTTTCTTGATCAAAGAATCTACCTCTACGTTGCCAGTTACTATTACTTTTTGTTGCTTAATATCAATATCTACATTTTCAACACCTACACAAGGTTAAACAGTGTTAAAGACGGACGAGATTTAAATGAATCTACGCGTCGCTCTCAGATAACTTAACTTTTTAAACGAGATGGTTAACAAACGAAAATTTTGATGGGACTTGTTAGAAAATTACCATGAACTTGATCAAGGATTTTCTTGACTTTTCTTTTGCAGCCTTCACAGTGAATAGAAGTTCTGAGGATCCACGTCTGCAAACCAGAGGTTAAAGAGTTATATTAGAATCAAAATGAATCTACAGACCGTAGTGAAAAGGGATTATAATTCATTAAGTAATAACACTTTACCTTGTTTTTGATGGGTTTGAGAGGATTTTCAGCTGCTTCTTGTGTAGCCATTTGGACGAGTATGAGAAAGAGTGGAGACGGTAAAAGCAGAAAATGAGGAGGGTTGAGAGGCTTTTAAAAAGAAGAAGAGAAAACTTGGCCTTTGGGTTTTGTGCTCATCGCATCACATATTTTCAACTTAAAAACAGCGAAAAATTTGTAGGGAAAACTGCATCTACAGTCATCAACCTTTAGACTTTTTGTACTTCTATCCTCAACCTTTATTTTTTCACAACACTCTAATATTTGGGGCCCATAGATGTTTCTATCCAAAAAAGTCTGTTAATTTGGCATAAAAGGCAAGCGCTCATGAGCAAAGATTATGCATAAATAAGTAAAAATATCACCTTTAAATCTTCCCAATGCATCCCATCCTGAACCATGAATTGAAAAGAATCATACCTTCTAATATACGCATGGCCTCAACTCAGAGACAAACAATATTATTGTAAAACCAGTAGATATAGAGAGTTATCAGACCTCAAGCTGTTTGTTTTTACATCCATCCAGTTGATGAAGCAATGCATTTTCTCCAATTTAAAATGCCAGATCCAGATGGAATAATGTATGGAGAAACACGAGATAGATAGAGGAATGCTATCGTAAACGAGAAACAAAATCCATAAAGCAAAAGAAATCTGACGCTGTGAGCTTCTAGCGAGGAAAGTTGAGGAGAAACGACACAATCTTGCTCATGATATCATCGTAATCCGTTTCTGTTAAAGATGTCAATAGAATGCTTTTGCTTAGAAAGTCAATCAGCAAAATAAGTTGATATTCATACAGATTTTTGACAGAAATTCGAGTAACATTAATGCTAGCACTGAAATTAAGAGACAACCATTACATATAAGGATGGCTAAGATACTACTTCGTTCAATGAATAAAAGCAAATATTGGAAATCCAAGTAAAATGCACCCTATTGATTCTAGGACTACATTGCACCAATAAATATAACCACCACACAGTCCTCCATCAATGAATAACTTAACTTTTCAAGTTTGTTAAATACAGTTCAATCACAACTTAAGTTCCATTATTACAACCAAAAAGCATGCTCGCACTCAGAGGCCTGAAGCAATTAATAGATGATATAATTCAGAGCAATTTTATAAAGAAATTGGAAGCAAAGAGGACATGGGTACATTTGCCTGACTAAATTTTCATGAAAGATCCAGAGGATATCTAACAATGAACGGGCAAGTAGCAATTTGATCCAGCAGATATAAGCAATTCAATGTAGGACTTTGAACCGCTGGCCAGTGCCACATGTTGAGTTATGGTATTGTTTCGCGTGGGTTAGTCGCTAACAATTAAAAGGGATCAGA